ACCACAAGTGAGAAACATGTCATTGTTTATCTGTTTCTTTATTTTGTTAATATTTATTATTTTCAAGACAGAACACGAAGGGAGGGCGCCAGTGGGCATCGAAAATTATTATTATTATTATTATTTTTATTATTTTTTTCTCCCTCGAGGGTGACTGGCGGCGCCCCTCCAGCAGATGGCGCTCTAGGCGACCGCCTATATCGCCTATGCCTAGAGCCGGCCCTGCAGTAATGCCAGGTTACAGGACCACACATCCTTTAATACGTCACCTGTTTCTTGTAGAAGTCAAGAAGAGGTTTCAGGGTGTTCGCCAGAGTTCCAGATTTACTGTTGATTTTCTTTTTGCTGACTTTCCATCTGTTGGTGCTGTCATCCATGTACAGATATGACAAACCATTACCAGTCCCACTGGGCAACTTGTATAAAATATACCTGATGATACAGAGATACATACATTTCATTATGTATTCAGCTGACTCTGAGAATAGATCAACATAAGCAACTTAAAATTTCCACCAACCAGTCCACCACATTTCCTTTGTCATCCCTGCATTTCACATCTGAATCACCCCCTTGAAAAAGGACAATACCCACGAGGAATCTCATCAGTGTTCTCTGAAACAATCAAACATCAAATCATGACAATTACAAGGACAGGAGACAGTCCTGTTTCCACAGATTAATCAGTTGATGGCCTTTAATATATAACATTTTCTGAAAAATGTAGCAGGTCATTGGGACAGTGATGAAAATTCCTTGTGTTTAATTTGAATAAATAGTGGACGAAAAAAAATCCGGTGTAAAGTTTATTTAAGACGATTACAAAGTGCCATTAAAAAAATGCCTGCAGGCGAAAAAGCGTTGTGCGCTCCTAAATAAATCACAGTTAAGTCATTCCAGTGTGCGGTGGTTCATTTTGATGTTTTGCCATTCTAAAAATATTATTGAACTTTAAGCTGATTACGTACATAAATATCTGTTGTTGATTAGTAGCTTTGGTGACAAAATAATTTTAACTCAAGGTCCCTTTCTAGCTATTTCCAGAGCTTTCAACCTTGAATCTTTCAACAGAGATTGGCGTTAGGCTTTGCTGATGAAGGCTATGATGTGTGGTTGAAAGCTCTAGAAACAACCATCACGGTAGTTCCCTGCAAACACTGCGGTCATGCTGGAGCATGTCTGGAGGAGTGGTCCATACGCAAACCCGAATACTACTAAAAAATAATGATGTACTGTACACATAACTCATATGTGGAAAACAAAGTATTTATTTTTTACTTGACCTACAAAATTAAATCAGCCAAAAGTGCAACACAGCCAGTTCCATTTCAAGAGTATTGAGAAGTCAGGTAATATTTAAAGAATATGTCACATCGAAAACAAAGCAAACATGTTTACAATCCTTACACTGTACAAACTTTTATACCACTGCACTTATCTAATTTACTGTGGCTGCCAGTTACTCTGACATTTCTTCTAAAACATATGAAGCTTAACATGTTTTGCATTTTAACATTTTAGATTTCAATTAGTGTTTTTATCATCCTTTTTAACTCTGTAAACTTTTTACTCACGTATCCGGCCATCGTCTTGTCTCTTCACAATCAACTGTGCATCTCTTTGCAAAGCAGCTTTAGACACTATTAAATGAAACTGACACCCACATCTCCCATATGTCATTAACTTCCTGGTTCCTCACTCAGAAACATAGTTGTAAATGATTCATAAATTTCATGTTGTCACCAGAATGTTGATCTGCCTGTTATAAGCTGGGGCTTTAGCGTATAGTAACCAGTTGGACTGGCTGTGTTAATGAATGTGGATGTGACATTGATACCCTTCAAAGTAAACACTTGTTTCATAGCTTAAGCATGAAGAGCCACAGAAAAGGAACTGTTCTTACGAAAGTAGAAAGTAGCAGAAAGTATTGAATTAATACTTTCTTTGTATTCAAGAAGCAGTTCTGAATACTTTTCAAGAGAGAATTGTCATTATGAAAGTGAAATGAGGTTGAAAGTTTGACGTAAGCTGAAATACTGCATCCATCAGAGTATTACAACAGATAAAAGTAACTGAAACTGAAATCTAAATTAAAACTACAAGTGCATCAATAATAGTTCACTTAAAGGGCATGCTTGTTCTCTTTGTCTCTGCTGGTTGAACCAGTTTTGTGAATCATAGAAGAATATGACAGAACAGTTCAGATGTTTTTGCTGATAACAATCTTGGTGGCATATTTGTTGTTATTGGATGTTTGCTGGATGCCTTTTCAGCTGCATGAACCCTCTGACCCAGCTACTGAGCTGCTTTAGTTTTTCATAAGACTGTCTGACTTGGATGCCTTAATGGGTGAGCAGAAACAATGGCAACGTTCAGGGAAATGTTCATTAGACTCATAGTCAAGGGGCGTCCTGATAGCTCACCTGGTAGAGCTGGCGTCCCATGTACCAGGGCTGAGTCCTTGCTGCTGCGACCTGTGGCACTTTGCTGCACGTCATCTCCTCTTTCCCATTTGCCTTTCCAGTCACTCTTCAGCAATGAGTATCAGTAATTAAAGGCAATAAAGTAAAGGAGAAGCAGCAGTCCCGTCACACAGTACATGGTGGGAACAGCACAGAGTCAAACAGGAAGAGGTAAAGGCGGTGCTGAACCAGGAACTAGTAGATGTACGACATAAGACTCAAAAGCTGGGGAGTTTGGTGTGGTTTAGAAATTGTGATTCCATGCTGCTACCAGTGCCGTTGTTTTGGTTTGGGGAAATTTGTAGAAATTAGTGTCTTTAAACAAGACAGAATCAGACTGTTGTCTTTATTGGTATTAAGAAAATAGGAAAATAAGTTGGTGTTTATTGGAAACTAAACAATAGGATTTGTTCATTTTAGGGTGCAATAATAGTCTACATGTAAAGGACAATATCAGTATTTGTGTTCCCTTTCTATGGATCCTCTTGGAAAAAACAGAATTTGATGATGATTCTAACAGTTCGACCACTAGGTGACACTGTTTACCCAAAACACTGCATACTTAAGTTATTCATCATCTTCCTGACAAGGTAACAAATACATAAACATCATAATGATGCAATCACAGTTTCCACCTGTGTAAAATAAAACAAAACATTCAAAAGATACAGAATGGACGTTGATAGAGCCTTTCATTCATCTAGGAAAGTTTCATTGCGCAAAATGCTTCCTTTTCCTGAAGCACCAAAACACACACCAGTACAACCATAGTCTGATTTGCAGCTGACTACTGGGCAAGCTCCAGTAGAGGAGTTGGGAGTGAAGCCTGTGGTAGTAATGAGGGAGGGGCATTTCACCGGAGGGGCTACTCTTTCACTTTCCGTCTTGTCTTATAAAGTTTGATTATTCTAGGAACTAGACATATTTGATTCAGATTTGCAGTTTTTCAAAAAACATAAAGTAAAGAAATGAATGTTTTTATATTTAACATAAACTCAGGGAAGTCCTGTGATGCGACTGGATGATATTTGTTAAAATGTGAGTTAGTGATGACGAGGAAACACTTACTTAAACATAAAGACACATCGTATGTATGGCCTTTGTAACTTTGTAAACAAATTAAGATTATACAAAAATTATATTATTATATATATTATACAATTATACAAAACACACACAGCTGGTGAAAATTATTTAAATAATAAATACATTTTCTGAAAACTGTTGCTATAATCATCCAGATCATATGCAATATGTACCAGAACACAGAAAAGTCTTTGCATAAAACCATCAATTACAAATCTAATTTTTAGTTATTTACAGAAAAATTTTCATATACAGAGAAAGTGGAAAACATTGTATTAAATTTGCCGGGGATTCTGCTCTTTTCATTGAGGAAAACTGTCAAGATGCATTTCACATCATTTCATAACTGATCATGTAGTTTACTACACAAATGTATTAAGCTGGGATCCAAGTAGCTATCAAAGAGCATTACATTTAAACACTTGATTGATGATTTGATACTTGTGTGGTCCGATGGTTGCATGCCAGCTGCTTAAACATGATCTACCTTCACTTTTAGTCCCATACATTTGAAACAGATTTAAACCATGCTGTGTGGGACTAATCCAGTCCCACCCATCCTATCTTCCTCTTTTATTCAACAGCCAATGTAGCTGTCCACCACCTGTCTGAAGGCCTTGTAAATCAAAGGGTTGAAGGAGCAGACCAGCCCCCCACCACGCCACATTTGGGCCTTCTCCCTGTTCAGATCCCCTAGACAGGTAACCTGGTCCTCATAGATCCGTGACACGCACCACTTTGAGTGGTCATGGTGGGACTGGAACAGGACTGATCCTGGAAGCCTAATCCTCTTGATGTTCATGGTGTGTTTGGGCAGGGAGCAGTTGGAGGGCAGCTCATGGCCTTGTGTCTGCCAGGTCTCCACCAGCAGGTCAGCATCCAGAACCTGAGCCACCCAGCCCGTGTAGATGTCTGAATGAACGGCATTGAGTTCAGTTGCATTATGACATAAAAAGCACATAGTAGATATATGTAAGCTCACTTGGTTATTAAAATGCACTAGAATAGGATAAATGTGTTAAATAATATCCGAACTGTTTTATTTTTCTTGTCTTGGCTACTTTCCCAAATGATGAAAACTAAGAGACAGTAAAAGAAAAGTAAATGAAATGCAAATATAAACTTTTCTGACTCAACTGAAGGTTCTTCATAAGTGAACATTAGGTAAATAGGAAGTTCTAAGATGTGTGATTGTGCTGTAATAAGTCCAGGAATTCAAATCTAAATGAGTTCTGTGATTTTTTACAGCACAAATATAACCTTCATGCTCAGGGCTCATAATCTTGACATATTAGTTTAGAGTGGTGAACTCCCAAAGGGTTACAAAATTATTAAAGTGATAAGACAGAGAAACATGTCTGTGTTTATTTTTCTGATTTTCTTAGTCTTTAAGAATTAAAGGACCAGTGTGTATGTAGGATATAGTGGCATCTTGCGGAGCAGTTGCAGATTGTAACTCCCTCGCTTCCACCTGAGAAAAAAAAACTGCCCTATCAAGAGCCAGAGTTTGTCCAGTCTGGGCTACTGTAGGACATGGAAGGCGACCCATAGCTTCTGTTGATATAAAAGGCTCATTCTAAGGTAACAAAAACATAACTATTCTTATTTTCAGGTGATTATACACTAATGAAAACATAATTATGCATATTATATTCCACTTCAGCCAATAGATCCTCTTAATGTTACACACAGGACCTTTAGCGAGATTAATAATTCATTAATATTTAATTGTAAAAATGCCCATCTTTTCTACAAATGAAACAATCTGAATGGTAAGGATTGCTGCTCAGCAACTGTCCACACTGAGGCCATAAAATGTGACAAGTGTCACTGCATCAACTTGGGGGCAGGAAGTACTTCAGAAGGCCTCGGGTGGGGTGTGTTCATACGCTTCACTGTCCTGAGATGATAGTGTGTCTGCACCTGATAATGAGTGAAATGTGCAAACAAGACAGTAGCAGATAGAGGATTTTGCAATAATAGTTTTGCTGCAAGAATTTCTGTGGAGTACTGTCACTGTTCTAATGCCAGTAGCAGTTGTGAAACTCCATTGTTTCCCAAAAAACACAAAAAAGTGCTTTTGTTGCAATACATAGATATTGTACAGCACAGCAAAAGAGCAACTAAATGCCTACAAATAAAAATAAAAATGACTGGACTATCTTACCATCCACAAAGTGTTCGGATTTGACAAAACTGACAAACTTGTCCCCTTGGGTGGAGAAAAGCTGCTCCACTCTCTTATCTGAGGCCAGCGTTGGTTTGATCCCCTCACATAACTGGGCCAACTGTGGCAGGTCGACCAAGAAGGCAGCAGGTACAGAACAGTTATAGAAACGTGGGTAAATGTACGCCATCTGCTTTGCTGGAGAGGGAGGAGAGTGCAGCACAAGAAAGAGAGAAATAAGAGATACTGTATGTTAGAAAACTACAGGGTGCACTGTGGGATGCTACAGTATAAAGATGGACAGTATACCTAAAAACCAGAAACAGAATTATAGCTCATTTAAAAAATACTTATATTTTACCTGATGGGGTTGAAATTAATTATTATTTTGCTGATTTACAATATGAAATCAATACCAACTTAAATAGTGGATATGTCTAACTGTGTCAATCTGATCAAAGAACAACACTATTATAATTTACATATTAATTTATTCATTTCATTGTTTAGTCATGTATTTTGTTATTTATCTAAATGCTTTATGTAATCCAGATTTCCCTTTACCAATACAAAATTGTAGTCGGCCGGTCTCACTGACGAATCAATTAATTTTCATCTTGCTGTGTATCTTATGGCAAGCGATTACACTTCCCCAAATGTGGACATGTCCCTTTAAACAGCTGCTAGCCATTAAAAAATGTCTTTAACTGGTAGAACTTGAAGACATTGATTAATGTCATAAAATACAGGCTGTCACAATACAAAACAAAGGGCATCAGGCTTTCAAATCCTCTAATCAGTGCAGAAACACCGTGGACAACATTCATCAAGAGCTTTGCTAACAATGCTGCTATGTTTCTTACTGCTGTGCTATATCACATGTTTAATGAAAAATAAAAAACTTGCGATAATTACTTGTAATAATTTGTGTTTGAGATGGTTATTTCGCACTGATGGCCTTTCTGGCCAAATTGTGGCCAAAACCTGTATATGTTTTGATTTTCTCTCACACTATTGATCTTTTCTGTACACATCTATTATCCGTTTTGTTTCTGTTTACACTAACCACCAACTGTTTGAGTTTCTCTTCCCCTCTCTTTCTTGCTCTCTCTCTCTTTCAGTGTGGCAAGTTTACATATATTTACATATACTACATGTTTCAGTTTCTCATCCTAATTTGAATATAGTATGATTTTGTTTGTCTGTTTTGTACATGGGACATCTATTGCATGTCTGTCTGCTCTGGGAGAGGGATTCCTCCTCTGTGCCTCTTCCTGAGTTTTCTTCCATTTTTCCAGTTTTTTGGAGGGTGAATGGAGGGTCTAAGGACGGAGGGTGTCATACGCTGTACAGATTGTAAAGCACCTTGAGGCAAATTGTGATTTGTGATTTTTGCCTATATAGATAAAACTGTACTTGACTTACATAAGGCCTAATCACTGTGTAAATGTTTTCTTGTTTTCAGCAAATACAGAATTTTGTAAGCTGGACTGAGTCTGGCACTGTTGCCTCATTAGCGTTCACTCACCTATACGGAGGAACTGTTCATACTGGTAGGTCACACAGAGTGCGGTCTGGCCATTGACTTTGCCAGAGGAGGGGTAGAGATAGCCTCTCTCAGGGAACGAGGGGAAATGGGGAATAGTGTGCGACAGCCAGAAACCTTGAGAGCGGTCAAAGAGCAGTACCCCTGCAGGATGCACACAAAACAATGCTCAAAGCACGTATAAGGACTCACACATACATGTGAACTGGCATGCATTCTTGCAAACATTTCCATCATCAGTCATGTCATGGCGGTAATCGATAATCCAGAGTCAACAGCAGTTATCAGACGGATGCTCTTTACATGTTTGTTCACCCTGACACCAAAACCATATTGATCTGTTCTTTTTTGCTAAATCAAAGCATTGCAAATAATGAATAGATGCCTGGAAATACACAGACACAAAAACAAACACATCTTTGAATGCACCACATTAAAAAAGGAACAATTCTTATATTAGCATAGGTAGACAACTGAAAATAGATTAGAAAAGAACTTCAAAATTTGGAATCAGATAACAATTGTCTGAAGAGTCTGAATAGTACCAACACACGATGCAACACACATACGACTATAAACACAATACTTTATATTATTTGATAATGCACATACTGCCTTTTAAAGAGTATGATATTCTATTGTATTGTCAGAAAATAAAGTAAAAGAAGTGTTATCAGCATTTTAATGCAGTCACAATCAAAACTCATCCCACTGAAATCAAGGCAAAATCCTGAATTTTGATAATGCGCTGTACCTTTAGTGTGTCCATATCCTTGTATGTAATCCAGGATCGGCGGGGCATCATTGTAGAGTGCGTAGACTGAACTGTTAGACTAAGGGAGATACTGGTTTATATACAGAGAAGTACACTTTTGGGGATGTGAGTTTAGATTTTTGATCAGCCCCTCATTTCTTAGAGGAATAGAAACACGCTTGTTTTTAGGCCGAGAGTTAACTGACAGAATCAAAGTCTCATATCTGTTCAGTAAGGCTAGTTGTTCCCCCCCTGTTTCCAGTCTTTATGCCATGCTAAGCTAACATAACCAGCAGCTGACTAGAGTGTAGCTTCATACTTACCATATAAACATGACAGGGGAATCAATCTCCTAGTCTAAGCAAGCGATTAAGCATATTTCCCAAAAAGTCTCATCAACGGTAATATTTTCTTTTCGTTTTTTTATTTGGTCTTAAATACTCTTCTGATGTTGCACAGAGATTGATCTCCAAACACTGCAAAGTGTGTCATTACATTCAACACAAAGCAAATGGCATGAGGAAGGCCTGTGTGATTTACTCCTTCTGGCTGGGGAAGTCTGTTCATGCCCAGCTTCAGCTCAGTTCCCCCATAGGAAACAGAGCACTGATGACTCTGCAAACTGCCACCAGCATTTAGTCTGATTAAAGCCACAAGGGTGTCTATCTTCCTTTACACAGGAACAAGTGTATAAAACCCACTTGAAGAGCAGGGACATAATCTCACCTTGTAGGCCTTTCCCATGTAAAGCTGGTTCAGTGTGCTCCCTATGGCTCCTTGACTGGTATTAACCATGAATTTACTCATCTGCCAGCTCCCTACTGAGGAGTCCAGGTACATGTAATCCACCCCGCTGCCGACCTCACCAATCTTATACTTGGGCACCTTATAGATGATAAACCTACAGTGGAGAGAGAGAGAGAGAAATAGAGAATAATTTAATAGATTTTATATTGATTTAATGCCCAAATACAAAACATTGTACAAACAATATACAGTTCATCTGCTTAGCGTCCAAAGACACAAGACATTTTAAGCATCATAGCTAAGAGCTTCAACTGTACTGTGCCATTCAAACTCCATTCTTGTCAGTACACAAACAGTGTATCATATCAACTCACCAATCAACAGGCTCACCATGTTCATTCCTACAGGAAATGTCAGAACTGTCCACTGTGCTACACAAAGATGTGATAATAATGTGGAAGCATAAACTGAAGCGTGTGGCCATCCTGAACGCCTCCTCCAAGTGCAGTGAACACAGCAGAGAGCAAAAAAGGGAATCTTTTATCAGGTTGTCTGCTTCATGATTGACTAACTTTGAAAGTGCAGTGCAGCTGCCCGTCGATGCAAAACAGGAAGTCATAAGATGCAGTCACATGACAGGGGAATACTGAAGGAACTGTGAGAGTATATAGGGGCACTATTCAATTAAATGTTTAGCTCTTAATCTGTGAGTCTACATTCTGTACCTTGACTTATCCAGTGAGAGTTTTTTTGTCTTTTCCAGCACTGTTCTTCACATTCAAAGGTTGAACCTGCTTCTCAGTACAGCCACAGTCATCTTTTACTAGCGATGGGGCTGTTGATCACTGAACTGTAAAGCATCTGGTCAAAAGACTCTTTCATCTTGTAAGAAAGCAGTGAAATAAAACACTTTGATTACACCGATGGAGGCTGATTGATGAAATAAAACGTTTTGATTTTGAGATTTAAGTTGAGGATGAGATTTAATTTATATTGTCACTAAAGCTTAAATTGTGCAGTTACCCCTCTAATCTGTAGTTCCACAATAAGAAAACTACTAGTGAACAGTAAAACATGGACAGTAAAATAGTAATTAAAATAGGCACTTCTACAGTTTATGGACAAATATGGTATCACCTGTGTCCTTTATTGGACACTCCGCTCACTTCTCATCGCATGTCTGGTCAACAAGTGGCCTTAACCCACATGACCATATACCCAGACCATCTCTGTAGGTGCCCATCTGGCTGATATGTTTGTGGAGAGATATGATTGGTAGTCTTTCATACCTTTTTAGATTTGTTATTTGTTATTTAATACCTACCCAATGTACATGTTGTTTGTAATGTGTTTCATTCACACATAAAGTTGTTCTGTATACTAGAAGTGTTGCTAGAGTTTTGACCTCTTTGGTACACTAATTCAAGGTTTTATGTATGAATAAATAAGATATATTTAACATTTTTGGTAAATAAATCAATAAATTAATAACAACTTATGCATTGCTAGGTTGTGAGAAAAAAAAAAGGTCCTTGACTGGTATTGATCCTCCTCCGATGGACTGTTAGCCATGGAAAAGGCCAAACTTTATACACAAGTTATGAGAAGAGTAGCTGTTCCTTATTCCCATTGTTTTGTCACAACCTGACAACCCAACACTTGTTCTTATTCATGATTTACATCTTATCTACAGAACAGTACTAAATTATATTGAATAAAGCTATTAGTTAATATTTATAAAGCCTTTATAGAGGGTGCCTTATTGTCTGTTTACTGAATAAAACCTCAGATTTATAGGTTTGGAGGATTTGCTCCTGCATACATTTATTACTGTAAGTATTCATGTCTGCACAGGATGTCTCAGCTATTTAATGTTAAAATATAACCTGACTAACTCGACTATGAGAATACTTTCCACACCACAGACATCAGTGCGAAAACAACAGGCGGATCAAAATAAAACAAAACAAAAAGATCTGTATTTAGACTTTGGGTTTTCTCTGTGAGCCTACATGTGCATGTAGACAAGCAGTCGGCAACCTTTTCAATATGAAGTGCCATTTTAAAGTTTTCTTGTTAATCAGTGGGTCACATTAACATTAAGATTAACATTAGGTTTAATTATGACACCACCCGCCATGAGGTCCTTTAATATGAGACAGGGAGTATATCTGCGAATCTGCAAAGGATGAGAGGGCGACTCTCCATTTCCCTTTCAGTTACCCTGTGCCTAAGGTTGCTGACCCCTTGTGTAGACAAAAGTCTACACCTACATGCACTTAAACACGTAAAAATAAGTTGAACTTCAGTTGAACATAACCTCACATAACTTCCAGTAACGGAAGTGCAAAGGTAGCACCACCCTCTCCACAAAATCCTCCTTCATCAGTAGAGACACTTTCTGCTGGACACGGGACAGGGACTGAGGACAGACAGACAGCAGGCGAAGGAAAGGAAGATACTATGGCAACCCCTTCAGATCAGGTAACCATTTTTATATTATATATCACAAAAAAGGTTCTAAAACACAAAAATTTTTAGAGACCATGAATGATTTAGCACCGGAGTTTATCTGACTTTTGGGGTGAACGACCACCGGGCCAGTGAAAATAAATGTCTCAAATCAAAAACTATTGTCAAACCCTGATGCTGTAAACGGTCAAATATTATTATTAATGTAGATTGATTTACTGATTTCAAATTTCTTATTCCTCACTTGGTGGATAATATATTATCACATGGAGACAGCTTTTAATGATCCTGTCGGAGAAATCTGACAATACAAATGTACATATTTTCATCAAATCCTATTAATACATATATTTCATATATTCTATTTTGAGAGTTGAAAGTTGAACATTTTACTAATACATTATACTATATTACATTATATATGAAAGAATGCTGGAAGGTGGAAAATAATCATGCTTAAGCAACTAATCAGGGACCAGTTAGACATTAAATTAAACTCATAGTTGTTAGTACATGTATCACACTCACAGAAACATCAGCAAAAATTACACACACACACACACACACACACACATCAATCTGTTACAGGTAAGACATTAATCTAAACTATAAAAAGTGCTGCACAAATATCCCACATGCACACAGGTGACTACAAAGTGACCGAAGAACAAACTGGAAATAAGAAAAACAGAACGCGAAACAATCATACATCAAATGAAGTCAATGCACAGTCTAAAACACCTGTTTAATCTGCTCCTTGTGTGTGCAGAATGTGGAGTTTGTGCGAACAGGCTACGGCAAGAACATAGTAAAGGTGCTGGTCATCAGGAGACAGGGGAGCCACCACTACATCATCGAGCTGAAGGCTGACGTCGAGCTGACACTCAAATCACGCAAGGATTATCTCATCGGAGACAACTCGGACATCATCCCCACCGACACCATCAAGAACACTGTCCATGCCCTGGCCAAGCTCAAGGGGGTAGGTCACCAGCCTCTTACTGGCAGACACAAGGCACATGTCAATATACTGAGGGACATAGCTGCAAATTATAAACCCAACACTACAGCCCATCTACTCATCACAACACTTTTATCACTCCATTGACAACAAAGTCTATCCAGAGAAGGTATAGACGGCACTTAAGACCAGAGGGGTAACTGTTTAAAGACCCCACTTAATGAACTGTCACCATTGTGTTGCATGTTTGTAAAAAAAAAAAAAAA